GCAAGCTTGTGCCACCCAAACACTTATTCAACTATTTAAAGTAATGTGTTGAAAGTTAAACTGTATATTTGAATCAATTTTGTTGTAAGACAGGAGTAGCATTAGAAATACTTAGTTGGCCAGTATTGAAGATACTTTGATGCAGACGTACAATAAGCCGTTTTCAAAGGCTCAGATGGAAGCACACCAAACGAAATTTTATAATTATTTGCTCTTATTCTGATTCTGAGGAATAAACACAGTCAAGTACCCTTCACAAGTGAGCAAGCTTGTGCGAAGCCAACCAAACTCTCAGATCGACCGTTTTGAGCAGTGCATGGAAAATTGATCTGAATATTGGATGTAGTTTTCTTTCAACAATACCAGTATTGGAAAACCTTTTTAATGTGTTTGTATGTAATTATTTTGTACTTGTACAGATTAAAGACTTCATCGATATCTTTCGTTGTGTGTGCTTAGACCAGAGAGCGCAATTGCTATGTCATAACAGAGACGCCTTGCCTCTCGACTGTGTCTTGTGCACTTTTTCCTCGAGGTCCAAGCTTCGTAGAGCTCATTCGCACTCTTCCTTGGCAGTCCTGCATGGTCCTTTGTGCTTTGTGCCTTGGTTCAATGACAGAGCACGTGAGCGTGGCTTGGTATATCTCTCCTGAATATAAGGATTAATTGTCTTTTATCTTCATGTGTATGTTCATATAATAGAAAATTACTCACTCACTATTTTCTGTTAGAGATTTCTCATAGAAAGATTATTAATTGCACAAATACAACATTTAAAATATTCTTTTTTTCATAAATTGAACAGCAATATTTGTGCAAATATAACACGTGTACAACTAAGGTGATCAAATGAAATAAAGTTCTTTGGTAATTATCTGATATACTTATCTGTTATACTTTTGCACATATTTGCATCTCATGATATGAACTAGTTAAAATTGGTTATTTCTTGAGGTTGTGTACAGCCAACTAATGGAGTTGAAAAACTTAGTATTTTAGCCCTTTGAATACACAAAAAAACAAAAATGTTATGCATGCCTAGGTATTTGGTCTAATAAGTTTACTGATGTACTACATTGACTATCAAGGTTGACATTGAGCCCTATCAAGTCCTATGTATGGCCCCCATTCAGCCCCATTAGCTCCTATATTGTGCTAGATGAGAGTCCTACATACCAAACCCATAATGCCTGTGTAGCTCCTACATACCCCTATATGTCCTGCCCAGGTCCCATTCAGCTCCTACATACCACCATATAGCTCCTGTATAAGACCCATCTACCCCCATTTGGTTCCTGTACAGCTCCTGTATTAGCTCCTGTAACCCCTGTATTGAAGCATACGGATCCTGTATGGAATTATATAGGTTTTTTCAGTAGGGGAAGAACAAGTCGTGGCCTACGCGAGCCGTACTCTGTCACCTGCTGAGTGAAACTACAGCGTCACTGAGCAAGAATGTCTCGCCATCGTGTGGTCCATACAAAAGTTTCATCCTTACTTATACGGCCGGCATTTCACAATAGTGACTGACCATCATGCTCTGTGTTGGTTATCGTCTCTCAAAAATTTGTCGGGATGCCTTGGCCGTTGGGTACTACGATTGCAAGAGTATGTACTACAGCGTCACATATAGGTTGGGCCGAGAGCACCAAGGTGCCGACGCTTTGTCCCGTTGCCCGCTCTCGCAAAGCGCCGAAGTGTCACCTTCCATCTGTTCGTCACCGCCCGCCAAAGTGACCAAACAGACGGCTGCTGCTTCGAAACAGTTAGTTGCCTCGGCGGACCTTCTTTCGTCCACAGATCTCGCCTCGCTCCAGCATGCCGATACCTACTGCCGCACAATCATCGATCCACGCACTGGCTTATCGCGTGCTCCAAACAGCCGCCTAAGACGACAACTTGCCCATTTCAAGCTTCAAGAGGGAACATTATGTCGGCAAATATACTATCCTCTCGGTAACCAATGGGTTCCCGTCATCCCTCGCTCACTTCGTCTGGAAGTTCTACAAGCGTTTCATGACGATGCGACAGCTGGCCACTTATGGTTGCACAAGACCTACGACCGCCTCAGGACTCGCTGCTTTTGGCCTGGCCTTTCCACTTCTGTCGCCAAGTACATCGCTTCCTGCGCGTCATGCCAGCACCGAAAATGTACCACGTCTCTTCCCGCGGGGCCATTGCAACCACTGCCGTGCCCGTCCACTCCCTTTGAATTTGTGGGCATAGACTTATACGGACCTCTTCCGCTTACGCCAGCCGGTTACCGTTGGATTGTTACTGCCGTAGGCCACCTTACTCGCTACGCGGAGACGGCAGCTCTTTCATCTGGTGCTACCTCTGAAGTAGCCGATTTTTTCCTTCGCGCCATTATTTTACGAAATGGCGCACCGCGTGTGCTCCTTAGTGACCGTGGCAAGACATTTCTTTCACATGTCCTTGCTGAAGTCTTACAGGCCTCTAACACCATCCACAAGACCACATCAGCGTATCACCCAGAAACTAATGGTCTGACCGAGCGTTTTCACCGAACTTTGTCTGACATGATCTCTATGTACTTGCAACCAGATCACAAAAACTAGGGACACAATACTTCCTTTTGTCACGTTCGCATATAACACTGCCATATAGCGTACAACGAATTTCAGCCCTTTTTTTCTCGTGTATGGCCGTGTACCGACTTTTGTTCTGAACACCACCTCTTTGTCCACATCTTCCAATCTATCTTCATTTCTCCCGGAAGAGTTCGCCGCTCCCGTTGCCCGCTGCCGTGAAATCGCCCGCGCCAACACTGCTAGCATTCAGGACAAGAGAAAAATCGACCTTGATGTGAAACGTCAAGTTGTTGTGTTCCGCCCAGGCGACGAAGTCCTTTTGTGGACACCTGTTCGTGTACCTGGGCTCTGCGAAAAATTCCTTCATCGATATCTCGGTTCATACACCGTCCTGGAACGAACATCTGAAGTCAACTATCGCGTTGCTCCTGTCAACGCGGCTTCTGATCGTCGTCGCCGCCACACCGATATGGCCCACGTTTCTCGACTGAAACGATATATTCGACGTCCCAACCCTTTCTAACTTGCTGCCCTCTTTCGCGAAGGGGGGAAATAGTGTGAGCGCTGACTATGTACTTCATCTTCATCTGTATGACCAAACCATTGTAGTGATCATCATCGTATGTCATGCGGGCTGGCTCGCTGGCTCGTGCGTCTGGATTAAAAAAGAGAACCTGGTTGCTGCCGTACCGGACGTGGTCTCATATATATATATATATATATATATATATATATATATATATATATATATATATATATATATATATATTGCTTTTAGTTGTCCTCTCTTCACGCAGATGGCGATGGTGGCAACGAGGCGCCGATTACTGGGTCCATGGGCTTCTATGGAAGTTACGCTACCAGTTTACATATATCTTGGAAGCCGGCTTGGCCGGGTGCTTCGCTGGCCGCCATTAGCGGAGTTCTGGCGCGGAGGGGGTGTAGTCGTGCGGGTCGCCCTCGTTTTTTTTTTTCTTTTCGGGGTTGCATCACGTTGACAGTGATGCCCAACACCTGCTGTGTGCCGGGCTGTCGCTCTAGATACAAGGGCACCGTCGAAAAAGTTGCCCTGTTCTGTTTCCCAGCCAACGCAGAAGAACGCGACAGGTGGAAACGTGCATTCTCGCGACGAGAGACTGCCTGATTTTCGTTCGACTCCAAGAGCGCTCGCGTGTGTGAAAAACACTTTGACGCCAGTGACACCCCAGACAACACAAAAAGTCCTAAGGATGCCCCAAAGAAGGATCTAAGTCCCACATCCATTAAAGGAAGTTGTATGGATGTCCCGTAGACTTCAGCGAATGTATCTCTAATAAATATCCCAGAAAAGGACGTGAATGGGTGGATGCATGCGTGAGATCTGCATGCGTCTCCTTATGGGATGTGTAATGGACATAGTATATATTATCCCACGCGGTTTCAAGTAATCTTTTTACCATATGGTGTCTCACCAACTAGCCCAGCTATCAACCCTACTGAACTTCAAGTAATCTACTTACTGATATTCTCACATATATATGCACGTTGCTTCATGAATTAGTGTATTATTTCAGCGATCATTTTTAACGCACCTGTATATATATATAGAGCTTGTGCAAGTCTTTCATTTTATAAATATACAAATATAAATAAGCAGGTAGGAACACATAATGACTCTCAATCGTTTGCCGAAATTTGAATGCTAGTATATATTGTGTCGTGCAGACTTAATAAAGCATGCATTTGCCTTAATTTGGCAACGATGCGTGATGTTGCGCGTTGCTATTCGGAACCACGCGTACATTTTAAAAATGCTTGCGATGAACCTTGCTCGCAAAACTGTTCTACCGTACTTAGCTCCGATGGCACTCGAAAAAGTCCCATATAGTTATACATTAATGAGGAATAATTGAAACCGTCCCATGTAAAACTAACCTTGCTGACTGTGTTCTTCAGTCGAGGGCGAATGGTTTTGGTTTCACTTTTTTTAATTTAATGTACCGTTTTGCTGCTCTCAACTGGGCACGCGAAAAATTAATAAAACAAAAACTTTGTCATTTGTATTCTGGAAGTGCATTGTAGTTTTTAACTTTTTATTTTTATTTTATGCTTGTTATGTGTATACCAAATAAGTACGACAACGCGGCTGTGCTGTATTGAAAGCGAGTCTTTGCGCATTTTTCTCTAGGACGTGCAGCAATTGCGGTGCGCGTGGTTACAAATTGTGCGCAGCGCAGTGTGAAATTTGGTTAGCAGAGCTGGTTGCAATCGAAGGTAAGTGTTGTTTGCCAACTGCTTTTTTATCTGTTCTAGCGTGAGGATATATGTGTGTAAGGTGTTGACCATGTTTTTTATGGAGCTTGCGTATACGCTTGGTAAACAGCACGACACCAATGAATTCACCAGTAAATGAATCCTAACGGCAAAGAACACTTGCAAGTGATGAATCACGCTTTTAGTCACCTTAACATGGCGTCCATGTCGAGGGCGACTGTTTACCGTCGCATCAGCCACGCCGTGCAGGCCGACGTGCATGCTATATTGGTAGCTGCTGGCGAAGGTATTAACGCGGAGGAAAATCTTTCACCAATCGCTTTTAACCCCAGTCAGCCAGAAGTTCCCAAACCACCACCGTACCGTTCTCTCGGCCCAGTTTCGAGTGCCGGCGTTTATGGCGGCTTGCAGGAATCCGTGGAGTACCAATCTGGTGACTGCATGCGCAATGTTTCTGTGGAACCCGTTTACGTACCTGACGCGTGCCACTGATCTTCTACACAGCAGGACACTGCCACGGATTCTAGCTCATGTATTTTGAAAGAACTGGATATCGCATCGTTAAGAGGAGACCTGCGACAATGGAGCTTAGAATCAAGTGTGCCTCACGATGCTGTCACAAATCTGTTAAAGATTCTTCGCTCGTATTCTTGTATGTGTGAGCTACCAAATAGCGCCAGGGCGCTTTTGTCCACACTAAGAATGACAAATGTCACACCACTGGATTCTGAACAGTATTGTCACTTGGGGTTGCGTGAAGGGCTTCAATCTGCTCTTAGACATGTTGACCATGTGCCCAATCCTATTGTTATCCACGTAAATGTAGATGAACTGCCATTGACAAAAAGCACACGTGGTCAGTTCTGGCCCATTCTTTGTCGCATTTGAAACTGCAAAGTAAGTGAACCATTTCCTGTAGGCGTTTTTTTATGGAGTGCAAACCATCCCAGGCTAATGCGTACCTGCGACCATTTGTGGATGACCCGATTAACTTGCTCCAAGAAGGCTTGGTGCTAGAAAGCAAGAATTTTGCCGTGTTGGTTGGTGCGATAATCTGTGATTCGCCAGCTAAGTCGTATGTTCTTGTCATCAAGCGACATAATAGATATTTTAGCTGCTCAAAATGTACGACTGAGGGAGATTTCGAGCTGGGACGACTGTGCTTTCCAGAATTAGATGAGCCATTAAGGACAAATAACAGTTTTCGCACTGCAGAGCACGAAAAGCATCACAATACAAAGACCATTTTGTTGGAATTTCCAATTGACATGATTCAGCAGGTTCCACTAGATCACATGCACCTGATCTGCCTTGGCGTGGTACGAAAGCTGTTGTTACTTCGGGTCATAGGTGAAAAAATACCGTATTGTAAAACGTTCACGAGATGCTGTGTCAGAAGCAAATTCAGAAATGAAGAGATTTGTACCAGCTGAATTGTCCAGGAAGCCGAGAAACTTGTCAGAGCTTGATAAGTGGAAGGCTACAGAATTTCGTACGTTTATATTGTACACAGGGCCTGTTGTTTTAAAGTCGCACATCGCACAGTGCCTAATGGACAACTTTAGAACATTGCATTGCACTGTCAGCCTGCTTTGTAGCCCACAGCATAACAGCCAGCACTTGGACTATGCCAGAAGGCTTTTGAGGCATTTTGTGGAGGTTTACATCACACTGTATGGTAAGCACGCAGTGTCGCAAAACATTCATGGGCTTATTCTTGTAGCAGATGATGTTCAAGTTTATGGACTATTGGACAACAACAGTGCATTTCCGTTCGAAAATTACATGTCTAGGTTGAAAAAAGTATGTGCGAAAGTCTGAAAAGCCACTGAAGCAGCTACACAAGCGCATTCTTGAAGAACGCTCTTTCAACAAGCCTTCACCTATTAACTCAGTCCCGCCTCCATCCAGCTGAGATGTCATTTTAACAAGGACAAAACGTGCAAAGCTCAAACGAAAACACGAAGATGGACCCTTGCCACCTGGATGTGTTCAGCCACAGTACAAAGTCCTTGAATATGACTCTGTTACCTTCAAACCAGGCAAAAGGGACTCCACAAGCATGCTTGAAGATGAAGCAATTGTAAAAATTAAGAATTTTGCACTTTCTGATAATTTTCAGCCTGTAATAATTGGCAGAAAAAATGAAAAGTTGGAAGAGCTTTATATGTACCCATGTAATTCATCCCTCATGGATATATAACTGGCATCTCAAGCTCCTGCTCTGAAGTTCTGGCCAGTGTCAGAAATCAAAACGAAATGTGTGAAAATTCCAACGGGCAAAAAATTTGCAGTTTTTCCGTTTGTGCATCAAAAGAGACTGCACTCTTCTGACCATTTCTGCAACTCTTTTTGTGTGTGTGCATGTGTATGTGTGTGTTTACTTGGACGTGTCATGTCTCGAACTGTAGGAACCTTTCTGGCTTCATGTTATATATGACAAAGAAAATTATTCTGATGATTATTTTAACTGAAGTAATTGCAAATTGTTAGGCGACCCCTTTGCTGTAGTGGAATTCCCTGAAGAGGGAGACACCATGGCCATCATTCACACGTCATGGCTGAAAGAAGATCAGCACTCTACTTTTTGGCCAATAGAAAAGAATCCTGGAAAACGTCAAAAGCTAACAATGCAAGGTGCAAAACCTACAAGCTCCTGGATTGAAGTTCGGTGCAACGTGAAATGCTGGGCTGGTATGATTGCTTTTCACTGTCTAAACTTTGTTTTGTAATAAGCTTTTTATCATTTTTAGATACCTATAAGAGAGCGAAAGACAAGCTTATTACCCTCCAGTACACATCAGACTCCAACAGTGGAAAAGAATTGGGACGGGGCAAAAGGAAGCGGAAACGTGCTTTGCGTTATGAAGATGACGACGAGGATGACAGCACGGATGACGCTAAAAGGGATCAATATGTCCACCCAAAAGCACCGACACCAACTCAACGACTATCAGTGACTGGCAAGGGGCAGCTTGTCAGAATGCCATTATTGAAAAATGTGTATTGAAAATCTGAGCATCTCTAAGACTGCTTTCTATATACTTACATTGCTTCTTTTTTGTCACTTTTTTTTCCTTCACCAATCTTCACAGCACAGAGTAGCCAACTGCTACTCACACTGGCTCTTATGTGAGTCTTTGGCTCGTTTTTTTTTCTTTCTCACCAACTCTGCTAGGAGTAAGTCTTGTGTATGTAGGTGTGGAATGTATAGTTGCCCTTCTATGACAGGGCTTCCTGGGTTGGAGACGCAACTACTTATGCCGTCTTTTACTATTCGTAAGAAATAGACTACAAGTGCTGAGCTCATGTAAATTAAGCATTCTTGTTGTCTAAAGATTTTTATATCAGTTCTTGTTATATTTTGCAACCTGCTATGGTATGCTGAAGGCAGTGCCATGTTTAACGAGACAATAAATGTGACAAGTTTTGGCAGGAGTTGCAAAATATTTTTCAACTTTTTAGGAAGGCTCGCTGCCAGCGAAAATTCATCGCATGTAACTCAAGTGAGCCATAGAATTCGGTTTATAAAAAGTATAAGGTGATTTACTGTACAATAATTAGGTAATCTGGATGATGTAACCACATTTAGTTGCTGTAAGATACACCATAATTTGTTTTAACACCTTTACTTGCTTTAGGTTGTTCTCCAGAACCTTGGCATAAAATTTTGTGGATTTCATGCATTTATAGAAAGTCGATCATTATGTGTCTGGAAATAGGCTAAATATAGTCTAATGTATTTTTAAGCAGCTATGAGCAAGGCTCAGGAAGGTCTCACCAGATTCCCCTCTGTACAGGTAACCTGTCTTAAGCAACTCAAATGCTGTATAGTGTGTAACCTTTCTTTTACTGCAGAGTTCCAGGACTGCTTAGTGTCACTCGTGGAGGCTTTGCAACCAAGTTCACACTCTGGTATGTCTTTCACAATGTGAATCTCCTCCAACTTTCTGACTTGATCCTAACAAAATTCATAAACTGTGGTCTGTTTTCGATTCAGGTTCAGCACATAGGCCAACATCCACATCTCTTGCGAAACCTTCAAGCTCGCACACAAATCCACATGGGGCTGGTATGCAATTCTCATGCAACGTGTTTGATCTTGCTGTGGTTCTGTCGTTATTGATTATGCATTGTGCGGCAAGTGAGTGCAAAATGTGGTTTCTATGTTTCACGTGTTTCGCACAGGTCGGAGGCTGCCTACTCTTTTGCGAAACTGCAATCCCGTAAAATGTCATTCATGCTGTATAAGTCATTATGCTGCTGTTATACAACGTTCTTGTTTTAATGTTTTGTACAGTCATTGAGCTATGGTCAAATGCCTGTGGTCTGTTTCATGTTCAGGTCCATCACCCATACAAGTATGCTCAAATCTTGCTGTGGCTGCAAGGCCACACATGGAAGCGCACATACTTGTTAAGTTATTCCGATTTCACTTAGCAATGTTTTATCTTGCTGCAGTGGGTGTTAGCTTTTGCATTGTGCGGCATGGGGGAGTGCAAACTATGGTATCTGTTTTTTAGGCACCTTGCACAGATCGGAAGCGGCCGACTTTTTAACAGAACTGCAATCTCATGGTATGCTTATTATGCGGGATGCATCATTTTGTTGCTGTTAGGCAATATTTCAAGTTGTATTTTTTTGTACAGTCATTGCGCTATGGTCAAATGCCTGCGGTCTGTTTCATGTTCAGGCTCATTGCGCATACCAGTATCGTCAAGTCTGGCTGGGACTACAGGGCCACACACAGAAACCACGCATGCTTGGTATGTCATTGTTGCTTCACATAGCAATGTTTTATCTTGTAGCAGTTGGGTGTCTGCTTTTGCATTCTGCAGCAAGGTGGAGTGCAAACTATGGCTTTTATGTTTTAAGCACCTTGCACAGTTCGGAAGCTGCCAACTTTTTCACAGAACTGCAATCCCATGGTACGTCAATTTTGTGGGATACGTCGTTATGTTGCCGATCTGTGATATTTCCAGTTTTTTCTTCTTTTTTGTGCATCAATCATTGCACTAAGGTCAAATGCCTGTGGTCTGTTTTATGTTCAGGCTCATCACACATACCAGAACGCTCAACCCTTGCTGCGGCTGCTAGGCCGCACATGGAACCGCGCATGTTTGGTATGTCATTCAGGTGTAAAAAACCACAGGCATGTTTCTGTGGTTTTTTTTACATTTAATCTTTAAATTTACAATTCTTTGCCTACTTCAATTGTTTTGAGCCGGCCTGTCTGTCCCTGTATCTATTTTTATTCTCTGTCTGCCTGTCTGTGTTACTCTAGATGTTAACTTGTGGTGTCAATTACATTCAGGTTCATCGTGCAGTCCAAGACACGCATATGTAACTGGTGCTGCAAGGCCACAAACAGACCCACAAATGCTGGGTATGCCATTCACCTTCTTCAAATGTTACAGTCCATACTGTTCAGTGCTCTTGGGTCTTAATAATACTATCGGAAAATACTCAGTCTTATTTGTGTGCTTTTTGCTTCTTGTTTACTTGAGGCAAATGTTTTTTTTGTACTGTGCATGCACTATTCACATATGTGATAATGTATGCCCTGGAGGGTGAAAAGTAATTCGACTGGTAAATTCTTTATCGTAGTGTTTTGGAAATGGAAGGTGATCTTCTTAGCACTAAATCAGCTATCTTTTTCAGTTGGGTTGCTAGCTTTATGACGGAGAAAAAATACAGCAGAATTCATCTCACAATGACTGTCACAAGTGATTCGATTAGTGTTCAAGCAATGTAACAGCCTGCTGTACTGCTCGATCTCTATCTCTTCAGCTCGTGTATCCAGGTAGTGTCCTATTTTGTTCATATACACTATGTATCAGCATATAGAAATGCGAACAGCATAGCTTCTGCACAGTCTGCCTCACATTGATCTGGATTCGTGATAGTAGTATGAGTGGGAGCATTCACCTATGCCGCAGCCATGTAGCACAAACTGAAAAAATCCACGCATTTCTACGAAGTGAATCGGAACAAGTAGGCAAAGCTGTGGGTATTGTATGGGTGAGTAACCATACGTTACCCAAGCATTGCCCGATTTAATGTAAATTTAGGAACATAAATTGACATAAAGCGTCAAAAATATTCAATGACAAAGCTAGGTCCTGTAGTCCATAATGTCACGTTGAAGTCACCGGCCGGAATAAAGGGTCTGTACTTCTATGTATTTTATATTGGTCCCTCACAATTATGATTGATGTTTGTCTATTTAAAACCTTTTCTTTATTTACCTACACATTCATGTTTTGATTATAGAAACAGTTCCCTTATACCGTGGCAGAGGAGAGTGAGAGTCGACGACATAGCTAGGTCCTAAGGCCCATAATGGCACGTTATAGACGCTAACGAGCTGTAAAGAGTTCATGCTTATAGGTGTTTAGTATCATTTCGTCAAATTGCTATTCATATTAGTCTCAAATATCCTGATTTATGATGTAGTGGGTACCATGCAAGTGTGCTTGTGTTGGTTTCCACTAGAAAGTCTACAACTCGACTAAGGTTCATAACGTCACGTTGAAGTTGCGGACTAGTACAAATGGTTTGTGCTTGTGGGTGTTTAATAATGGTTCATCAAAATTATGATTGATATTAGTCATTGTTCCATCGGATATTGCTATTTTACATGGTGCTGTGCTATGTGCATGGACACAAGGCACCACGCCGGGCAAAGCTGTCTTAAATAACTTCGCCCCTAAATATTTTGTATCTTGGTGCTGGCATAACACACTTTCTCTTTGTCGTCATGACAAAGTGACAAACTACCATGAGATATGTTTGAGAGATGAGCTTGCAAACGTGAACACAAGAGGGACACCACAAATGCCTTGACGTCTTGGCTTCTCTCTTGTGTTCGCACGCCCTGTCTCTTTACCTAACCAAACAGCTCAGCTTTCTGTCATTCCAACCATAAGTTGCTGGCACAGTTTATCCCTTCATTCTTCTTTAGGAGTGGTCTTCACTATTTGATGAACGCTGGTTGTTAGTGTGCAAGTGGTGATTTATAAATATTTTTGTGTTGATGGTGCTGCTGTGGCTTCGATCAAATCGTAAATCCTCTCTTACACTCTTATGACCAAGCCACAAAAACTGCAGCGAAGGCTGTACGTTAATTTTAATGCATGTTAAAGAACTCCAGGTAATAAATGTTTTTGGTTACATTATACATGTCGTGATTTGAAATGTAAAGCCCAAGCAATTTTTATTGCGAAGAACGCTTATGCTTTGCTGTTATCACCCCTACGAGTAACTCTCAGCCATGTTCATGACAGTTTATTCTCTCCCATTTGTTGCCATACAGTTCACTGAAATGTTCTAAAACTATATTTTTAATATAGGTTGACCTACAGCTACTTGGAAAAGCAAAACACTTTGAACATTACGTATCGTGCTATCTTCAAGTTATTGCGGTAGTTTTTCATCTTAGACATAGAGCTGAACAGAAAACTGTCATAACACTCATGCCATCACTTCTTTTTCAGCCTTCATGGAACCAACACTATAAATGCTATATGCCATTGAGCACATCTAGCAAACCCATTCACAATACTTCAACGAGATGTTAAGGAATGCCTAGAGCGCAGCTCCGCAGCCTAATGGCCACCCAGACCTGCCTTTCTTGAATGTGGCAGATGTTCTTGCATACGAGGAGAAGCTCGAGACAGACAGCCAAGCTCGTTATCAAATGGTAATATCTCTGCTTCATGGCATAAGCTCAGTGCAAAGCTTCCAGTCTTGTAACCACAGCATGCGGGAGGGACTAGGCATTTATAAATTAATGTGAAGTCTAATGAGAGTCTGAATCAGAGTCTTATGACTTATGAGAGTCTGAATAATGATGAACTGTTGAGTTTTTACATAGCTAGCTGCATACAAAAGTTCTAAAGAATTGAAGTAAAGCTAGAAGCCAGCTTGCATTGCTTTACTACCATAAGATCATTTAGGCTGAAAAACATTCAAAGTAAACTGGATACCAATGTGACTTTATGGCTGTATATTCTCTTGTTTTCTTTTAACAGAAAAAACTTATGGCTGTACAAGGTGGAGATTCGACAAAGCAAAAACAACACGTGTTCTGCAGTTGCTCCTCAGGTGGAATGCTGCAGTGGGGTTCAGTTGGTTTGGCACTAAAGGAAAAAAAATTCTTTGAATTGCACCTCTGCAAGCTGATGTGTAGTGAGCCAGGTGTACCAAGCTTTATATAACTTGGTTTTTGTGCAATTTTGTGTCAAGCAATATACTCGATATAGCTATGTTGCCTATTCTTACTTTGCTGCAATCAGTCTTGGTATTTACTTTCAGTTTTGAAGTGTAGTGCATTAGGGGCCCGTATGCTGTCGTCGCTTGACATAATGCAGGCAAAAGCATGTATATAGAATAGCCATTTGTCGTGTAATGAGTGCGTGTTTGCAGCAGGGTCGTCTCCTTCCTTTCTTTGAGCACCTTTATATGATATTGAGTGTGGAGTGCATAAGGGGCCCCAGCTGTCTTATGCCATTGTTGCTTGGCGTTACGCAGGCAAAACCACGTAAAAGAAATTTTTAAAAAAGAATGAGTGAGAGAGAGAAAAAAAGAGGAAAGTTTAAATAAAAATAGAAAGACAAAGAAATAGAGAGGAATAAATAGAAATAAACAAAAGACAGCAAGACACAAAGGGAGAAAAAAGCAAGGACAAAAGAAATAGAGGACCGAAAAGAAACTCAATTCAGCCCTTTCTTCAGGCTTAGCACCAAACATGCAAAGCTGCCATAGTTTTTATAAGAGTGCCATACTGGTCCAAGTTTTGTATGATGTGCAATACTTATAGCAATGATAATTTTGCTTATGCATGCAGGCGTGTTGACTAATGACGTCCGAAACCCGAATGCCACCCTGAAAGATGTGGAGAAAGCCTCAATGACTTGGTTTCGTCATGCTTCTGAGCGACTTGCCGCGCAACAAAAATAGTTTTTTTGAATAATTACTGCTGAAGGTCACCTATTTATTTGTTGTAGATTCTCTGCATTATAGCTATTAAATTATGTGTTTTTTCACCTCTGTATGATTTCATTCCTTCGTTGTGCTGTTGGAAACGACACACACAAATAAGGAGCTTTGTGTAAACAGGCCCATTGAGGAAAATGTTTCCTACTTACATATATGTGCGTCTTTTATGCATGGTGAATGTGCATATTTGCATGAACTATATATATATTCTAAATTATAGTGTGACATTAAACTAGTGTCAGGCATTTAGACAAATCTAAACATACTTTGAGTATATTAAAAATTCATTTTTCAGTCCAAACACACCTGACTTTAGCCATCTTCAGAAAACTCATAGATGTGTTTTGCACTTGTCCTACTTTTTTTGAGACTCATCTCTTGACTAGAGCTGTTACACGATCATAGAATTCAGAGCTTTTATTATTGGCTCATTTACCTGTGCTTGAAAGCGCCTTAAAGCTGTTCTTTAATTGACACTTGAATTTGAAACACTTAGAGCAAGATCCATTCTATTTCACATTCGGAACTTCGACATAAAAAAGTGGTGTGGGGTTCTGGCCTTGGAGCAGTGTTTTCAAGATTTGGAAAATAACAAGCAAAGAGGAAGGCAACAGAACCACTGAACATGTTATATGCCTACAGTCACGTGGAAAAGCAGGAGTGCATTGCATCGCTGGAAGAGTACATGGAGGGGTAGTAAAAACATGTAAAGAAATGCAAGACTTTCAAAAAGACAATTCTTTCTACTAACTAGCATGCGTCCTTCAAATGCTGTGTCTACTGGTAATTTCAGGATACAGTGGAATGTGCAACATCCAAATATAATCCCATTATGATCCCAAGATGTCCTAAGTGCAGGATGTCCTACGGATCTCGTTTTTTGTCTCATTTTGGAGCCTTCATGAAGGTTTCCGGGAATTATTTGGAACACTCTTAGCAGTTCTCACACATCCTAAGCAGCGTATCCTTGGGGATTCCAAAGCATGGCCCTGCGTTGTCTCGGACTGTACGTGCGGAACTGTGCACAGTGAACGAAGTCATCATTTCGTTGCCACGAGAACGACCGAGACTGGTGGAAGACACCGTACCAAGGATTTTCGAAGGTTCGCCTTCTTACCTCTCCGAACTGAAACAGCATTCACGTTCAACACAGAGAGATTCGGTTGAAGGGGATGGTCCGCGTCTCGTTTTGAAAATGCAGGATCTCTTTTAACATAAAAAGCCCACTCGATCAGGTAAACATTTGAATAGCACCCACCAACGCTGCTTGTCGGGTGCTTGTGCATCGTAAACGTGCTGTATGTCGTCTAGCCTTTAGATGCTAATGACAAGCACGTCTCGTCGCATGATATAAAACAAACGTTTATGCTGCTTTTTATAATATTTTTTATTTTCTAACTTCTCACTCTGGTCATCGTGATATTGAGAAATATGTTTCAGATTGATACCTTGGTAGTCCTTTTCGATGACATACTGCTGCAACCTGCTGAATGCATGCGAGACGTGATTAATCCCGAGTTAACGAAGCACTGCATTTTGGATTACCTCGTTAACTATGTGGCAAAAGAGTTTGCGAAACTAAGCTCCCAGGGCTGCGTCTAAACCCTCACAAGCAACTCCCGTGAGCCATCTGCAATGACTCAAATCAAGTAGAGCGTTTTAGCAAGTGCCATCGGAGAAATTATTGCGGCTCTTCCAAAATGTGGAAGAACATGCGGAAACGTGCACCGTGGAAAATATAGCCTGTGCCAGTGTGTACATGAACATTGTTGAGAACATCCTGCTGGACAACCGCACGCATTCTGCTAGTTGTGGCTGTGGAGCACATTTCATGAGCACTACAGCAGAAATTGTGAATTTTTTTATTAAGTGTCATCTGCATTTTTTACGCGTGACCAAAACAAACTGTTTCGTGCCAGCGGATGTCGTTTATCCTGCCCGGCCAGAGGAGGAAAGAAACCTGGGCCAAAAATTTTTACAGGCATTTTTGTTGTGTCATTCACTCTAGATCCCAACTTTCAACCACAGTTTATGAAATGCAAATTTGCATAAACTATGTGCTTGTGCTCTTGGCAGTTTCGAATTCTTGACACTTGCCATTTATTTCAGAAAAAAAAACGTTACACGCAGCCAGAGAACGGCTGATCCGCAATTTCTAGCGTGAGCTATGTTAACTTTCCAGTCATCTAGAACTAGTCACAGTGTTCAGCTAACGCCCGAAAGCAACTATGCAGGAATTGAGAAATTTAGAAACACTACGAATACGCGTCACTTGACAGACAGACTCTGTTGACACAACGCGTATCATGGGCTCTTTCGACAATACTAATAGCTGCTATGATTTGTTCGCGAGAACACGAAGAACGAAGATATCTGAAGAAGTGTTTTTGATGGCAAACGCTTCCGCGAACGCGCTGCAGCCCTGCCAAGCACGCCCAATCGATGCCCTACTTCTAACGGCGGCACCTCTGGTAGCCACTTTTGTCCCCATATGAACATTTCATGGGAGTTTCATGACCAGAAAAAACGTTTTGAAGGACCATGCTAAAACCAAAGAAGTTACGCAGCCAGTTTAACGTGGCAACCCTTTCTGCTCAGATAGTGCTCAAAGCGCGTCCTTTGGATACTAGCTTTTTTTTGTAAGCATGAAATTCGAGGCATATTTATTACAATTTTAAGTCACCAATACTTGTCTTAAAGTTATTTCCTCAAAACCCACTATCTTTTTATTTATGAATAACGTGCGCGGGTTTCCTCCTGAACTGAAAAGGGTGCGCACGTGCTGCTCCTCTAGTCCAGCCGAGATCGGCGATGGCCATGCGGGAGTCACTCAGTATGGTGGTGACTTCGGGAGTGCCGTTCAGCGCAAGGGCGATGGCGGCTTCCTCCGCTTGCTGCGCAGGACGTTGCTCAGACACTGCAGGCGTTAAGCAGTTTGCCGTCCATCGCTCGGACAACCATCACTACGTAGGTGTGCGGTCTGTATTGACGCCTCTCGGGACCCCGGCAGCAAGCCTGCTGCCCAGAAGCAAGTCGACCACGGCAAATCTACGGTGGTTCCCGGCCCACGTGGGAGCCATCCCGGGCGGAGCTGCCAACCGCAACGAAAGAGCAGACGCCGTCGCACGTGAGCTTGCGCAAGGTGCGGCGCCCCACCCCCCGCCCCTCGGACGCGTAAGAAGCCGAACCCCCGGACTCGGACCCGCCACTCGACTACGGCAGCATCCTGCAATGGTACCGAGAGGGCCGCCGAGCGCTTCCCGGGCCTCACCTGAGGCTGGGTCGGCGTGAGGGGGTCCTCCTGAGATAGCTACAGACCGGCACGGTGCTAACGCCCGCCCTGGCCCGACACGTGTGCCCCGGACTCTACGAAAGTGCGAAGTGCAGTGCGCGAGAACTAGCAACGCTAGATAGAACTAGCAACGCTAGATAGAACTATATGCGCGAGAACTAGCAACGCTGACACATGTGCTGTGGGGGTGTGACGCGTGTGTGGGGGGAGCAATCACCGACGCACTTCCACCGGAAATTGTGAACCACATAGGCTCGCCGAGTCACGAGGCGCAGCTCAAAACCATCCAGCGGCTTGACGCGGCCCTGGCTCGGCAAAAGCGAACGGAGCAAACTCCTAGTAGATCGCGCTGGGCCTGCCGTCGTTGAGGTCTAGATAGACAGGAGGGTGCGAAACCCTGCGCGGTGCTCCCACCCTCCCCACGCAGGATTGCCCAATAAAGCCTATTTCTCTCTCTAGTTCGGCTGTGGAGGTGGCTATACCTACTACTACTACTGCTACTACATATATAGCAAACGCACGACCCACGAAAAATGGAGCTTCACCCTCAAAAGCGGTACCAAGCTTTTTTTTTCCTCGCACAGATAGAAATCACACTGCCAAACGCAAACTTTATGACATTCAATGTGATAATTACGGCAGTGCAATGCACTACCGTCATGTTTTGCTGGACAAAAATTTTTGATCTCACGCTGAAAGAGGGAGATAGCACCCGGTACCCATCCGCACTTGTTCGCACAATTCCGCTCCATATATCGAAGCCGAAATGTCCGTGAACAAGGCGCCGATTCCCCCTTCCCCCCTAAACGCAAGGCGCCCCTCGAATTCTCAGTGCCCCGTGAGCTGCCAGAAATAAAACAGCAAGATGAAAGGCGGGCGACGAGCAACGCTGTCGATACTTAGAGTTGCATCATAGTTACATTCGATCTATATAATACTGTCTCGCCGCCGTAAAATCAGTACATATTTTTGCTCTTTGTTTCAAAATATATTTCCCTTATAACCAACACGAACGTATGTAAGTACTAGCACGGATAATTGGGCTAGTGTATTTGTTCGTGTTTTACCTTAATTAGGGCACGCACAGGCACGGTCACTAGTACAGGAAATTGCACAGTTGCAAAAAGGCACTCTTAGTCTGTGCAATTTCCTGTTCTAGAGCCCTTGTCTGGGTGCACGCCCTTGTTCAATTAAGACATGCAAGTACTCGTGTTTTGCCAGTGAGCAGGTTTTATTACGTTTTCATCATGTTACAGCAACAGATATTTTTCACAATCGCAGTGTTCTCTTTTGTTAACCTTAGAGCAGGTAACGGTGGCACATATCCGTGACCGGTGAAGCGAAGTGCACCAGCAAGTAAGTAGCCCACCTTGATTGTAGTCAATTGTGGACACTTTCGTAAAAAAAATGAATAAGTGACAACGCGCAAATATGGCCTTTAGAATCTCGCACAAGTACCCCTGGAGCAGGCGCGCCCAATACAAATGGAAGTGCACTCATTGAGATTAGTTGTTTTCAAGAAGGCTGCTTAGATCATCCCTTACAGGACCTTCTTTCTATATTGAAAGCAACTGAAAAAACTGCCGAGAGGCTCTTCAGAAAAACAGTCCGTTTGATGACCTCTTTTGGATTGTGCTTGAAAAGTAGGACTGGCTGCCCTTGCATCTTTTGAGTTAAACCACTCATCATGAGAACGTGAGGGTTATGTTTTACATTG